ATGAGTGAAGGGGGAGGGGGGAAGGGGGAGGGGGGTTGAGAAAGAAGGGAGGAGGGGGGATGCAAATGGGGTTGTTGGTAAAAGGGAGAGAGATTTCTGATAGAGAGGGGAGAAGGAAGGGAAGAAAGAATGGTTTTCAGAGGATAAGACCTCCCCTGTACGACACACGCATGACGAGATTCCGACCCTCCAGCCCCAAACACCCGACCCCACTACTACTCTCACCCAGCCCCAGCCTCGCCTCCAGCAGCTCACCTCGCCGCCTCCGTCAGCTAGCCCCCACTCACCCATGCTGTTAGCTCTGCTGCAAGCCCCACACGCCGCCAACGCGCTCTTCATCCGGCCAAGCACCTCCAAGCATTTCGCGGGGTCGGCGACGTCAAGAGCCAGAAGCTCCGCCAGCGGCAATCCACGAGTCAGCGCCCCGTCCGGCAGATGTACGGCAAGCTGCTGCAGTACTTGTAGCTGTATCTGCTGTACGGAGTTGAACAGCTCAAAGGCAGGGAGGGTCCTGTCGGAGGGGTGGGCGTGTGGGGAGGAGGGAGGGGAGGAGGGTAAAACCTAAACCCCCCTCAGTTTACTGACGTCGCATAAAACGAAAAGAGATTGCTGACACACGTTTGTTTTTTGTTGTTTGTGTACATAGGCTGCTGCTGGTACCGCTGCGGCTATTGCTGCGGCTATTGCTGCGGCTATTGCTGCCACCGCTCCGCCTTTTGAAGCATCGGGTGATGATTCCACGTGCCATGGCCCGACCTTCCCCCTCCCCCCCCCAAACGTATACCAATGCAGTTCATCAGCGCACCATCTCTCCTTCCCCTTCCTGATGTGCAAAATACATACCTATTATACATACATACATACATACATACATACATACATACATACATACATACATACGTACATACAGCTGGGGGCCCCGGCCCCTCCGTTTTCAGGGGGGCAAGGTTAGCCTCCCGACACACACTCAAACACGCATACACACACGCACGCGTACACGCACACGGGGCCCAACTAGACCAGGCTGCGTACCAGATGATAGTTGGATAATGCAACCGGTCGGGGGCAGGATTCGCAAGGATAGGGTGTGAATCGAATTGGCGCCGGTGTGAGTGCATTTGTAGATCGCGCAGCTGTAGCGCATGCGCTTTCGGTGGAACGGGGAGGTTGCTTGGCATCTGAGCTGGTGTTTCTAGGTGGCTAGAGGATTCGAACAGGTGACGGCGCCTTGTGTTGATGATAAGGGAGAACGGTCCGGACTCTGACCGATGTAACGCCCCTCCAATGACGGAGCGCTTCGGCGGTCGCTCATTCCCGTTCGGGTTTTTTACGGTTAGGTGCCCCTGGCCAGTGTCCCAAGCCTAGATCGATATGTAACAGATACACACACACATACATACACACACATACATACACACACATACATACACACATACACGCACACACACAGACATACACACACAGACATACACACACACGAACACACACATATATACATACACACATACACACACATACACACACATACACACACATACACACACATACACACACATACACACACATACACACACATACACACACATACACACACATACACACACAGACATACACACACGCGAACACACACATATATACACACATATATACACACATACATACACACACCTGTTCACGACGGGTTTGTTGCGGATGTTCTTGGCCCTGTTGGCGTACTTCAGCGTGTTCAGAGTCTCCTCCAACACGTCGTCCGCCGGACTCACACACGCAATCATGGCTGTACGGCTGTTGCCGCCCAAAGAGTCCTGCAACAGCCGAGTCAGCTTGGATTCACGGTACGGCACGTGGCTGCCACGTCGGCGCTCGTCACCCAGGGCGCTGATCACGTTGCCCAGGGCTAGCAAACCCTGCAAGGGCAGGGGGTGGGGGAGGGAAGGGACACATGCAGGGAGATCAAAGAGGGGGAGTGTATGGCGAGGATTTGTGTGTTTGTGTGTGTGTGTGTTTGTGTGTTTGTGTGTTTGTGTGTGTTAGGTGGACGTGTGCGGGGAGTGTATGCCTGCCTGTGCGTTTGTGCGTGGAAATCACAAGCAAAAAAGCGAAAACATCAAGCTGGCAATGGCGATGGGTGTCGGGCACTGTCGGGAACAGATCACGTAATGACGGATCATCGTCACCATCATCATCACCATTACCATTACCATCGCCATTACCACCATCACCGTATAATTCCTCCCTCCTCTTCAACCTTCAACTTCCCCGCCTCCACCCCCCCTTCCCCCCACACCTGGTTGATGTTCACCGTCTCTCTAAACCGGGGACCCTGCATGGAGGCACGCACCATCTTGTTCCGCTCACTGCCGGCCAGGTCCTGGGGGAGTTAGGGGAGGAAGCCGTGGGGGGGGGGA